AATAAAGTGGGGACGACCATAGGAAATTCACTAGTGACCAGTTGAAAGACTTTCGAAAAGTTTATAGTTGGTTATTAAATCAAACGACTACATACGATAATAGTTATGTTGTCAACTGTACACGTAAAACACAATTTTTTGTTTTATTTATAAAATAATTTGTCTCTATCAACTATTTCGATTAAATTGTTGTTATAAGTAAAGTGTTCATTTCATCAACGTCATACAAAAAAGTCAACTTTATTTCAGATAAAGACAACATAAGACAGTCTTTACATAATTTCTTGTCTGAATATGAAAACAAAAAATGGGAAAAAAGTAGTTAAATTTTTTTTCTTTCCATGCAGATCTATAATTAAATACGAGGGGAATTAGACGGTATCAATATTTGAAAATGGGAATGAAAAGCATTTAAAAATAACTCTTTTTCAAAGCAAATTATTTATAGAAGTTAAACGATTCGTGGTAACTTTCATTTAAGCCAAAAGTGGGGTACTTATGGCTTTAGTCTCTTGATCCTACATAGAGTAGCCTACACAATATTCAATTTTCTCGGTATTTTTTCAAAGCTGAGCTACAAATGTACTATATATATATATATATATTGCTTACACCTCACTACAATGCTCAATAGTATAGATTTCAGTTTGATAATTATTTCAATTAATTAGATAAATAACTTATCATAATATTAATAATTTTTTTTCATTCATCTTATTTTTTGTCTCAGCCAACAGACATACTACACTGAGAGATCGGATTGTTTATAGCTAAGATATATGTTAACTATTAACATACACATGTTTAAATTAAAAATATGTATGTAAACTGTTAACATATATCTTAACTATAAACAATCCGGTCGCTCAGTGTAAACTCCATCTATTTAGTCGTGGTATTGTTGTCAATTACCTTACCAACGGATGATTTACAAACCTTTTTCTTCTAAGAACAAATGTATCATATATTTGGCACATTATGAAATTATAAGCATACATTTAATTTATTTTCATATTAATTTTAATCAAAAACAACTTTTTCGTTTAGTCATTATCTTGAAAAAGACGAATACATGGTAAAGAGTTATTGTGTTTGAATCATTTTCATCGTGTAAAATATATTTTAAACTATGCACTATAATTTAAACAGATTGATAAACATGATAAGTAACGAGAGCGGACCAATTACATGGAAGAAAAAAAGGCTTTGTAAGATAAGATCAAGGGAAGGTAAGTAGTGCATGATATTGTCACAAGAGGTTTCAGCCTAATCACTATCATGTTTTTCCGAACAAAATGGAAGCTCATCCATTTGTGTATCTATAGTATCAAATATGAGCACAGAGGAAAAAGATGCTATGAACTTAATTATAAATAAATAAATAAATAATTTTCAATAGTTATGTTTTACGCACTACAGTTTTATTCAACTCTTTTGAATAACAATGGTATACATACCATATATACGTGTATTACAACACTGCATAGAGCTTATGTTACGAATAAAACACTACGTTCTCTTCTGTCTCAGTTACTTGCTTCAAGAAATTAACGACTTTTGCAATAATTTTCCTGTTTTTTGTTATTTTCGGTTTTCCATTAATAGGTTCGGAAAATAAGTCAATTATTGCATTTTCACCATTTGTTTTATACAAACTAGCTAGAGCACCCTCAAAGATCTGGCTGCTAGCGATTCTTCCAAAGAAGTGATTTTTTCAAATCAATTACTTTCAACCTCCAAAGCGCGAACAAGTTTTTGCAAAATTACTACATCGTTGACCGCGTCATCTTGGGGCTCTAGATAATCTTGGGCTAGTCTTTGCAGTTTGAACATACTACTCCCCTTTCGATCTAGCAGTTTCTTGCGAAAAACTTTGCACGCGTCGGAAAATCCGGCGATATTATTAAACCGATCCGTCATTCCGAAATTGGCAATCGCTTGCAATAATCCAGGTACATCAAAATTAGTATTGTGCGCTACCAATAAACATTTTTCCAGAGCGCGAGCACTGAGCATTGATTGAAGAAACTCTTTGAATAACTGTAAAGCTTCGGAAATATGTACGGTTCGTAGTTTTTTTGCGTAATGGTATAATTTACCGTTAACATGATGCAGGCCATTTACTTGACTTGCTCTTTCATGAATCACTCTATTTGACGTAACGTAACAATCAAAAATTTTCTTGTCGCTCACTGCAGATATTTGTAAAATATCCTCATTCATTGAAAAACCACCTGTTTGAAGATGAAAGAAAACGATTATTGAATTAGCACTCAACATCTTTGTCTACTTTCCTATTTTTATGCGTTACAAAATTTTTTTTACTAAAATTAAGATTTTTCGAGTGGAAAAACGTAACTTGTGCTCCGAAAGTTACGCTTGCCGTACGAATACTGCATGCATTCTCCGTACCTACAATGTAAAAATGCCACGTCGGCTTTATCACTAAACCAAAATAAAAAAAAACACCAAGCGCAAGGTTTTGTAACACATGAATGCACACATATGCTCGTGGAACAAATGCGAAGTTATTGTTGTTCCACATATTAAATATGTAGGCATACTCGCCAATGTGTTATGCACTTGCAACTTTAAGCGATAATCATATCATACCACGCTGAATATTCTTAAAAAATATGGACATTGATGGTTTGAAAAAAGAAAAGAAAAATAGGATGCAAAGGAAAACTACGTAAATAGGATAAATAGTGAGCTATCGAGGTGACGAAAATTTTTTAAACTCCCTGTCGCAAGAAACAGATTTAAATGTGCTCAAAAGTTACAAAAGCAGAGCTTATTTGTGTTTTTTTTTGCTCTAATTATTGGTTTATATTAGAGAAGTTGTTACAAAATCACGTCGTTTCGCTATAAAATTGTGATTGTATGATCAAATAACAAGCGCCATGTTTAATATTACGGTCATTGTTTTAATAATCAATTAATTTGACATTATTGTACAATATTCACCATCACGGCTGAATAGCCGAAAATTTAGAATTGTAGAACATTAGTATATTTTTCATTCTTTCAAATGTTATTGATCTAAGACCTCCAGGGCCAATAGTCTGTGTCAACGTGCCCGATTAGAATCCGCATTGTGTCCCAAATTTTGAATAAGTAAATACATGCATTTGTATACACATGTCCGCAGAACCTACGAACAGCTTAAGGTTTATCGCAATCATTTAGCAGCTTTCTAGCTTGCCGCAGCAGTAACTCCCTTAGGACCTGCTGAACTTTTTGAAAATTTTTCGATCGCACTGGACCTTTCGAAAATATTCTTACCAGCAAAAGTACAACTCGTACAAAGACGTTGAGATGGTCAACGGCAAACGATTCAACTAAAAAAAGATAATAATTGTTGTGGATCTTGAAAATGATTGCGCCGAGAGGCTGCGCACTCTTGGAGTCATTAAAAAAGACTTCATAAGTCATTCTAAGTCTTTCAAAGATTTCAGAAGTCTTCAAAAGATTTCAGAGTGCGCAGCCCCTCGGATTGTGCACAAAAGGAAATACTAATTACATATTTTGTAAGTTATCTGAACTAATATTTTGTCATACAGTAAGCAAAATGATGTGATGCTCGGACGGTAAGTGTTTCTTATTTATTTTAAACATTATCATTGATTTTTTATTTAATGCTCAACGGTAGCTGGACTCGAGGTGTCTTTTTCCAACAAAACGGTCCCAGGACATTTTAACATGTTGGCTTCTCGTATCTTTCAAAAATGAACAGTAGTCAGCTTCGGTCTACATAGTTGGATCGTGTTTGCGTACTCATCAGTCGGATTACCGAAAATAGAAAGTACTTTGGGTGCATTTAATCGAATTTCGGGTGAAACGTTGATTTTCGTTACATAGAATTCTTCACGGTTTAGTTTTACATGAAAAATTATGCGATAAACAAGGTTATCAAGATTTTTCAAACGAAATTGAATATTTTTGTTTACTTGTAATATTTAATACTCAACTAGGTGAAGCAGCTCATTGAAAGAGTATTAAAATTTATAGAAAGAGTGAGCGCAGTTGTGACCAACTGTTACTGCACTTGCCTTATGGACCAAAAAACTGGAAATAGAACCGATTTTGGATCATACATAATTGATCAAAGATGTTTTACTCTACGTGTGCAATTATCAGGCTAATGAGCACTACAGAAAAAAAAAAAAAAAAAAAAAAAGTCCTCAAACTCTTTTCACTACTTAGTCTACTGTAGAAAGAAGCGACGTATTCTGCAGCGGCTTTCCTATTCTCCGAAAACTGTCCTCCACTTAGCGTCATTCAAGAATCGGTCGGCCCCCCCCCCCCACCGTCACAGTACAATAAAGGAAGATGACTAACAAACAGCGCGCACGACAGCACAGCAGGAATGAAATTAAGACGCTTGAAACTCGCGTCGGGTCCACTTTACCCAAACGGCGGCTGAAAGCGGACAATTTTGACCTGTGTAGGAAAGAAAAAGACCAATTTGCAACTTTTCGTCAGCCAACAAAAGTTCTGCTTACTTTCGATCAGCAGCACAAACGTCGTACTCGGGGATTTGCATCGGTATCGATCGGTTTTCTGTACAACGTCACGCGCGCCCAACCACAGTAGAGTCAACATGCAATAACAATCCATATGCCTGCCCCTTACTTTGTATACACACGCATATCAGCACGGACGAACGTACTTATGTGTTTACGGAGAACGGGTCTCTCACAAAAGTTGGAAAAGAGCGAGAGTCGCCTCCACGTAAAAGGCGTGTGTATATACACACGGCCGAGTAGGAGAGAGAGAGAGAGAGAGAGAGGGACAACGCATGATATACGATACAGGCGCCTATGTGGACCAGCTCTGCGGTGGCGGAAAGTCAGGAGGGAAGGAATGCGCGCCATATATACCCCGGAGGACCAAGAGTAGAATTAAGAGAGAAACAAAGACAGAATCTCGTCTCGTGTACAATCCAGGAGAGGTGCACGCTCGTGTGGAGCGGAGGCATCGCAGTTTACCTCCCGCAGCCTCCGAGCGAGCCTCGTTCACAGGTGCCAGAGTGCGCGTACATACATAGCCATCTGCTGTCGTCCATCGGTCGGCCGATCTCCGCGAGCTCGGGTGGCACGGGAGTGTGTCCTTCGTACCCCCGTTTCCCCGGTGCCCCGAGCCCGCGAGAGGCCCACACCTGCTACGAAAAAAAAAAAAACAAGCCTGCGGGCTAGACCGATCCGCAAAGATGTCGCACCCACGGGGGCTGACGCTGCTACTGCTGCTAGTGGTCCTGATCGGTAAGTCGCGCTGCGATCGGCCGACGGGCGTGTACGTCGACAACGGCTTCGACCAGACGGTCGTGCACAAGGTGGTGACCGAGCGCGAGAAGCGCGAACTCGAGCACGAGATCCTGAACCTCCTGGGCCTCCCGGAGCGCCCGCCCAAGGTACACGCGAGCAGCAACAACAGCAGCATCGGCAGTGGCGCGCCCAGGGGCCCGAACAAGCGCTCGGCCCCGAGCAAGTTCCTCCTGGACATCTACACGAACGCCCTCGACGAGGAGAAGCAGCGGCAGGGCTCCGAGTTCGGGCTGAGCGGCCAGGACCTGAGGGCTATCGAGCAGAGCGACGTGATCATGAGCTTCGCCGCGCACAACCACCACGTGCCCGGGTTGAGGCACGAGCGGGGCAAGCGGCTCTGGTTCGACGTGTCCGAGGCCACGGCCATGCCGGGCAGCACGGACCTGAGCCTCACCCTCCTCGGGGCGGAGTTGAGGTTGTACCGGTCGCCCAAGCCGGGCTCGAAGAACCAGGGGGCGTACACCCTGACGGCTTACCGGGTGCTCGGGCTCGAGAACAACGAGCGGGAGCTGCAGTTCGTGGACGCGGTGAACGCGAGCGCCGGGCGCACGGGCTGGCTGACCTTGAACGTCACGGCGGCGGTGCGCCACTGGGTGAGGGACCCGGCCGGCAACCGGGGACTGTACTTGTCGGTCCACCCGGCAGATCGGCGGGTGCACGAGGTGAGGCCGGAGGACGTGGGAATCGCGGGGTTCAAGGGCCAGGCCGAGCACCAGCCGTTCATGGTGGGGTTCTTCAAGAGCTCGGCGGCCCACCGGCAGCGCCAGCAGCAGCAGCACCAGCGACTGGCCGCGGCCATATCGGCCCGGAGCTCGAGCATCATGACGCGGGGCGGGCGGGCGAAGCGCGAGGCCAAAAAGTCCAAGGGCAAAAAGTCGAGCGAGTTCTCGAGCATCGATTATAGGAGCAACCCTTACGCGGATCCGCAGATGTCATCCGGTGGATACGGTGGTGGTGGTGGTGGCAACGACAACGGCGGTGGTGGTAGCTCGAGGACGTGCAAGATCCAGACGTTGTACGTGAACTTCCGGGATCTACAGTGGCAGGACTGGATCATAGCGCCGGACGGCTACGACGCCTATTACTGCAGCGGCGAGTGCAATTTTCCCCTGAACGCGCACATGAACGCGACGAATCACGCCATAGTGCAGACGCTCGTGCATCTGGTCAATCCGGGCAAGGTGCCCAAGCCGTGCTGCGCCCCGACCAAGCTGTCGCCGATCTCGGTGCTCTACTACCAGGACGAGAGCAACGTCATCCTCAGGAAGTACAAGAACATGGCCGTCAAGAGCTGCGGGTGCCATTGAGTGGTGCGGTGTCGTTTTTCTTCTTATTCATTATTTTTATTGCTGCTCGTTTTCAACTCCGGTGCGAGTGGCAGAACGATCGAGAACTGGTGGCATTTTTTTTTTTTCCCCACCTTTATTTGCAGTGAACACTTGTGCTCGTTACTCTTTTTTCACAGTGGTTATTGCGTCGGTACTTGTTGAGTGCACGGGACTGCGAAAAAATGATGTGTACAGTTAAGATGTGAATGTTGTCGAGCGACTCCGTTTTGTAATATATTAATCGCTATCGATCTATGAGTTTAAAAAATACATGTGCATATGTGGCTACGATTAACTTTTTTTTTTTTTTTTTTTTTTTTTTGTACTGGAGTTGAATTTAGCTTTTGAATCTTCGCTTTGTTTTAAAGTTTCTCAAGTGTTATTAAGTTTTCATGAAACTTAGAATTTAACCTATTTTTTTCGAACAATGTGTTCTTCCAACCTTTAGTTCGGAGATCGTTGTGATAACGTTTTTAAAAGTGTGTATATATCTTTTGTTTTTTTTTATTTGTATGTATAACCCAAGTAAATTGTTAATTACAGACTTTTAACTTCTTCATTTAATTGCGTGTATGTATAATTTTATTTTTTTGAGAAATTTTTAAAATTATTAGTCAACAATACAAAATTAACTTTTGACAGCTAACTGATTTATTTTTATA